AGCTTTCATCTTTGAAAGAGAGGAGAAAATCAAGCTCCACTCTTGCTTCAGATCTGCAAAAATCCACAGGTGTTTCTGTTCATCCTTCCACTGTGAGAAGACAACTCAACACTATGGGAAAGGATGTGTAGCTGTCAAGAACAGCTGAGAAAAGAAAAAGGACAAAAAAGAAGAACATTTGCAAATCAAACAGAGAAGCTGCTGGAGTTCTTAGAACAATGGACTGACAACCCTGGAGTCCAGACCTCCACATGCTTGTGTTCGGGACTGCTTTGATTGTGAGAAGCTGAAAGTGCAACTAACTTCTAGGACTGAACTTTGGAGCTGTGGAAAAAATATTTCTGCAGATCTCTTTAAAAAACTGAAAGCAAGTCTTTTTCTTGTTGAAAGGCATAGCAGGGTCAAATTAAATACTGAATTTTATTATTATATTTATTGGCTGAGGAATTTGTGTAATTTTCTGGTAAAGATATGTTTTCTTTGCTTAATTTTTCTGCCCATGAAAAATGAATAACATATAGCATTTTTGTGTGGAAATTACATAAATGAAGAGCAGTCTCTGAATTTTGCACAGCCAAATCCATTTACCTTATCTTTACCTTTTCAATATGTGACATATAGGGCCATTTCTAGCTATGAAGAGTGTATAAGTCACTTCAGTCCTCTGAGCCACCAGGATTCCCACAGTTATGTATTTTTTATTTAAATAAAATAAATCTTTTGGCAGCTATTTGGAACAAATTGCGATGTATCCATGGTTACCATGGTTCAGGCAGGCGCAGGGGGCCTTTTGAAAAGCACAATGAATGCGAATTAAAATGTATACAAGTTTGAGATTGCTACAATAGTGTAAGAGCACATGCCCATCTAGAGCTGAGAAACAGAGAAAAAAGGCAGAAGAGGCCCAAGGCACCAGTAAAAAATCAGCAGTAACTATTAAGCTTCTTGTTGTTTACATGAAAATGTTAGTGGCTAGGAATGGGCTTTTATATTTAGGCCCCAAAATGTTCAGAAACAGGCCTGGTTGCAGCTAAGAAATAGGGTCTAATAATTTACAAAATTCATAATTTGGCTTGATACAATAATTCAATAGATTTTAAAATAAGGAGTGCCTTGACATGCGTCAAAGGTCTTTACATATTAACACCACATGCATGGCCTCAAAAAGAAGAGCCAGCTTGATGTTTAGGTCTCAAATCAACATTCTACTGATATGTTGATAATAGTAGATGATTCACTTACATCCTCAGAAGACACGCCCTTCACCGAGTTTTGACTAAGTGCTCTTTGAATACACTTTCAACAAACTTGCAATCATCAGATTCATTCGCTCGGGGAAGGGGACTGACGTTACAATATTGTCATGTGGTCTCCCCCCCTTTGGATATTCAACTTGGATTCTCCCTGGTTCTTCCGACTTGCACACCTGCAAGTCACCCTGGACTCATTAACTATCTCATATATACCCCTTTGTTTGACCTCTGTGTTTGTGAAGTCTCTGTGTTTCCTAGTTTCTGAGCCGCTTTCTTTTCTATTGGTTCTCTATTTTGACCCTCGCTTTGTCTCCTGGTTTTGTCAGTATGGATCTGCCTTTGCTATTGTCTGCTTGTGTTTTGACCCCAGCCTGTTATATAGCTACACTGCTGGCTTACCTCATTTTACTACAGGGGCCCAGAGTTGTGTTGGGCCCATATGGGTGTGTGTCTCCGCTGTCTGGCCTATTTTAGCAAGACGTTCTAGTCTGAGGAAGTTAAGGTTGCCTTCATGACTTACTGCGAGGGCCTGCCAGAGACTGAGTGGCTCATGTGTGGGCCTCCTGTAGCGAGGCGGCTCACTCTTTGGAGAAGTTCTGGAGCCTCTTCCAGTCTGCCCAGTGCAGAGAGATAAGAAGGCTCCCAGGAATTCTTTGGGTTGGGAGTGTTATATCAATATCACTCCAGGCCAAGTGGGGCAATGGGGACACAGTGGACACAGTATCCCAGGTGGCAGAGCAAGGTCCCACAGCGCCGCCCAGAGCTTCAGAAAGCACCAGCAAGCCCACACTGAGTTCCACTGCATCGTCTATAGCTCCAGGGAATTCCAGTGCGACAGTACAGGATTCCAAAGCTCCGGCCAGTGTTATGGAGAGAGGTTCTCCAGGCAGCTCCAGTTCCTGCTGTGCCCTGGCGGCTCCATGCAGTGCTCCAGTGCAGGCTCCACACAAGGCTCCTGTTCCAGTCTTCCAGGCTGTTCCAGTTCTGGTTCTCAAGGCAGCTCCTATACTGAGTCCTTGTCCTGATTCAGTGCCATTTTCCCAAGCTGCTTCTCCTTCGGGGCTGATTTCCTGTGCGGCTCCTTTGCCGGCTTCCCAAGCTGCTTCAGTCCTGGCTTTTAGCACTGCTCTTCCTGCGCTGCCTCCCAAAGCTGCTCCAGTGCCAGCTTTTAGGATGGCTCCTCAGCAGACTCCTCAGTGCCCCCATTCAGCCAGTCCAAATCGCTGGCCCTGCACCTGTCCCGTCTGACCCAGTATGAACTGCCCTCCTCTCTGGATTGTGGATTGCTAAAATTTCTGTCTATAGCAGGGCCGAACAGTATGTCCCTGGAGGGCTGGTATTCAGCACAGTTTGGTGATTTTCCTGCTCTGGCACATCTGATTCAACTCACTTGTTAATTGCTGGGTTTAGTGGGTGTGTTTTAGGAGTGGAACAAAGCGATGCTGGACACCAGACACCTACAGGACCCCTGATCTATACAAAGACATAAGGCCTTAAGACCATCATACACTGCATGTGTCCCAGAACTGCTTGATTTCTCAGAGCACTACATTAAGAAAGAAACCACAGAAATTGATGGTAGGTGACATATGGCTTGAAATTTACGCCAGGAGACACTTACACTCAACAGACACATGCTAATCATCTGTTAGCTCACCTAATGCTACTAGCCTGGTATTTTTTTTTACCTCAAATCTTTTTGCTCAAAAAACAGCTGACACTAAACTTGATCAATTCCCTGTTGATATTGAAAGTGTTTATCCATTAAAATCTATACAAGTAGAGTGTAAAATGAACTTGAGCTTGACGTTTATGAAGTGTGTCAGCGCTCTCTGTGATGAATTCTATGAGGTATAGTTCTGTGGCGCTACAGAATGCTGCACAGTGTGGCACATCTGGTGTGCGGTGGCCTTAATGCTTTCTGCATGACTGGTCCTTCTCAGTATCATCAAAATCATTTTTTATCATATAATCTGTGAAATCTGTCATGAAATAAACATTTTCTCTTGGCATGCAGTTAGAAGACTGCTGTGTGATATCCTCACTTGAACCACATTTAATATGAAATATCAAATATTTTTTCAGTCTATGTCAGAGTAGTAATAAGAGTAGGTCTTAGTATATATAGATACCACACATTAGGGTCATTTGACTGATTAATCTCCTCATTTTTGGGAATAACCCTCAACATTACCACATTACTACTGGTTTTTATTTTTTGTACAAAGAAGCTGACACAGCAGCAGGACGTCATTCTAATCCCTGTCTCATATTGAGGTTATTAAAACCCCAAACCCTGCTTTCACAGAACAGATGACTGCTGGCTAGATCTGTTATTTTGGGGCTGAAACTGGAGTAGCAGTGCAGCAGAGCTTTCCTTATGCATGGCTTGTCTGTGATGAAAGATATACCCTTCCACTCTGTGCTCTCAGGACCATCTATACAACCTGCTGGCTGCCTTGTGCAGCCTACATAAGAGCGTTTATCATGCAAACAGGGGTCACACAGAGTGCCTGGCCAGTGCAGCGCCATAGTCTGCCCGCTGAGTGAAGATTTATTAGTCCGTGACCTCGCCGCTTGAATTTGTTAGCTGTAGCTTGAGATGGAGTTCATCTAGGGCGGCACGTACGGCACATCAGCAGGCCTGCATGAACACTGACCCTTTCAGCGATTCACTGTGTTTTTGCACAGATTCTCATCAAGCAGTGGTGTTTTGGTCTGAAGCCATGAGTTTCAGAAGTTGTTCTACTCCAGCTACGTGACTCAAGACTACCATCTACAGTATAACCCAGGTTTCTGTTCTGTTTTAGCTTTTTTCTGTTTATAAGCTTTGATATGGACACTGAAGTCTTGAAGATATGAAGATATTCCCCAAGACCAAGAAATGGACTTAATGTGAAAAATGTTTGTTGTTTTTTTGACCTCTATGTTTGAATTACATATTGTTCTTTCCAAAAATCAGATATTTCCACCTCACTATCTCTATTTATTTGTGTTCCAAATTACACTGAGAAGTACAACCACATCCCACTGAATTTGAGTTGGAGAGGAATGTGACAGGGTGAAATATATCATATTTAACTAGCTGGAATGTCAGTTTTTCAAAAGTAAATTACATGATTCTTCCATGAATATAAAAATCATAAAACTGTTTGCCTCTGTATCTGTGACAGGGTGAACACTGTGCTAGTGTTAAGGATGGTGAGAAAAAAATATTGTTAATAATTGTTAATAGTAAAAGTAATAATACTAATGATAATATTTATTATTATTATTATTATTATTATTATTGTTGGGAAGCACAGTGGCACAGTGGGTAGCGCTGTCGCCTTACAGCAATCGGATAAGCAGCTTAGGTTTTGTGTGTGTGTGTGTGTGTGTGTGTGTGTGTGTGTACGTGTGTGTGTGTGTATTACTATTTGAAAAAATGATATTTCTTTATTTTGCTTTAATGGTACATCTTAAAACTTCAACCATGTTTAATTTAATTTAATCATTGCTTCAAACTTATTTATTTAAAACACCGAGGGAAGTCAGTTTCCCATTAAATGGAAATTTAAAATTAAAATCCTTTCTTATTTTTACAGATCATTCGAATATTCGAGAACGTCATCGGTAAAACATACGAGAATGAAAAATATTCGACAGCTGCAGCTGTTTGTGGCTGTATGAACGCCGCACCCTCCATTCCAGCAAGTGGCGCTAAAAGCACAGAAGTCAGCGCGCAGCCCGTTGAGCACCACTGAAGAAGCGGCGGATCCGGTACTGGAGTTGTTTACCTTTCTTCATTAGTTCTTTTTCTTGGTTTAAAAGATTAATAAAGTCTGTCTGCGCGTTGTTCTGCCTTATAGCCAGTATAGTCACTTCTCACTTTTCTGGGAAAAGTTACTGCAGTCCTTTCTAAGTGTAAACAGTTGCTGGCCTGGCACGTAGTTAGGTACCTAAGTTAGGTTAGCTAGGTTAACTATAGCTGGTTAAGCTATGCTGGCTAGTCACACAAACTCTGTTTAGCAGCCTTGATTGTAAAAAGGTTGGTTTTTATGTTCCTCATTTGTTGATAGTCACACTTGATTATCTTTGCACTCAGTTGTAAAGTAGCTTGTGACGAAGCTGAAGTCAGCGTCTTATTCGCCAGCAACTTATTCGAATTTGCTGTACTATTTAAGGTGGAACGGGAAAATTCGAACCAGAAGGTGGCGAATAGAAAGACAACTTCAACCTCGTTAGCTTGTGCTAGTATATAAGTTTGCTGGCTTGCTATGAGATGGAATGTTCCTCTGACTAAGTTGTGTGACCCTTCAGAGGTTTCGAGTCCATAACTTTGGTAGGTTAGTTATTGTTAATTCTTAGTATATTTGTGTGCTGAAACATCTATGTAGGGGCAAGTTTTGTTCATTAAAGTCTTCCTTCCCACATAAAGGTTTCCACCCACATAAAAATGGACTCAAGTGGTGGGAAGCCCTCCACAGCCCAGATTGTGCTGTTAGCCACCAGCTCAGCCCTCACTGCTGTCCTTTACTCTATCTACAAGAAGAAGGCAGGGCATGTTGCTAGGCTAAAAGTAAGTAAATAGATGTTTATTTGTATTTTTGTAAGTTAACTGTACTCCTGCAAATGTCATCTAATTAAAACTGTATTTAACAGGAAGCCCAGAAAATATCATTAGATCAAGATCTGAAAAGCATTCTGGCTGAAGCTCCAGGAAAATGCATCCCATATGCTGTTATTGAAGGTATGACATGAGGTTTGTGTTGTTTGGAATAAATGGAGTTGCATTTCTGTTTTCTGTTTTCCAAAACACATGTTGAGTAGTGTTGCAGCACTGCAGTCCGCTTATTCAGTACTGCCTGTGTGATTGTTGAGATGTAAAGTCATTCAGAGTGGTTTGATGTGAAATAGTTCATTGTAGAGAAACGTACTGACCATGTATACAACACAAATATGGCTGTTTTATTTACTGTCCAAAACCACCAATGAACCTAAACATGTCATCCGAGTTTTTATATGTAATGTTGATAACAGTCTGGGGGAATAAATGTTTTCTTTGGTTAATATTTTTGCCCTGCATGTACTTCTTCATGCTGCATGCATTTTAAAAATCACGTTTTATCCAAAACTTTCTCAAGACTATCATGAAATAATGTTGCATTGCCTAATGTGCCCCCCTCAAATTAGCCTAGTGTGTACTGCCCTCTTCAGTTGAGACCACAGATTTTCATTTGGGTTGGAGTCTGGGGACTGAGAGGACTATTGCAAAACCTTGATTTTTGTTTTGCTGCAGCTATGTCTTTGTCAGTTTTGACGTGTGCTTTGGGTCATTGTCTCGTTGGAAGACCCAAGCACAGCCCAGTTTCAGCCTACTGGCAGAAGCAACCAGATTTTCAGCTAAAATGTGAAATGGTTTTGGTATTGAATGGAATTCATTGTGCCACTGACCTTAACAAGAGCCCCTGGACCACTGGCAGCAAAACACTGCCAAAGCGAGCCACCACCATATTTTACTGTGGGTATGAGGAACTGTTCTTTGTACTCTGTCCCCTTTTTTTCGCCAAACATGATGATGTTGCGTGTGGCCAGAAAGCTCAATTTTTTGTCTCATGGGACCACAACACACAATTCCAGTTGTAATTCCAATGTTGCTTGGCATAGTTCAGATGCTTGGATTTGTGTGTCTCAGGAAGGTCTTCTTTCGTGGAACTTGTCCAGAAAGCTCCTGGTCATGGAGGTGGCGTCTCACTGTTAATTTTGAAACAGTGAAACCTCAAGCTGCAACTAAACTTTGCAGTTGTGAAACTGTGAACTCTGGGCTTCTCTTTGCCTCTCTTAGCATTCTTCTCACTGTGTATGGGGGCATTGTGCGGATACGTCCCCTTCATGGCAATTTTTAACTGTTCCCTGCTTTTGAAACTTCTTTACTATGGCCCTAATTGTGCTTACTGGTAATTTCAACTGCTGACATGTTTTTTGGTAGCCATTCCCCAATCTATGCAGCTCAACAGCTTTTTTCCCATTTTTAGCTGAAAACTCTTGTGTTTTGCCTATGTTGGTGGATGACAAGGGGATTTTACCTGTGTTGTTACCTCATATTTATGCAATGGTGTAACAAGAAAAGGTCATAGACAACAGTGAAGTTCCTAGACACCAAAAGCAATATCAAGAAACGTTTTTCCCCAAGGAAACACATTCCTTTGGTATTATTTATAGTATTCTTCAAGGGTGCCAATAATTTTGCCACATATGTTTTTGACAGAATTAACTATTGCGAAGACACAACAACTCCTTTTCAAGAATTATCTTTATTGAATTAATAGTTAACAATTTCCGAACATATGTGGAAAAGAAGAATCATTGGATGTATTACCTATATTTGTTCCATGTTTTTGGTGACTTTCATGAGGGGTGCCAGTATTTCTGGAGTTGACTGGACTACCAAAATGGGTTCTAAGCAAAATCAATCAAGAGCTAAACAACCATGAGATATAACAGAAAAATTCTGCAAAACTCAATGGTTGAGTTAACAGAGTTATTCAGAGTGGTGGTGTTAGGAATTAGGAATTGATAACATGTGTATAGCCATTTTATTTAATAATGAAGGATCTTACAACACGGGACAGCCCTCAGTTAGAGAAATACACCCTAGGAGGGATCCATCCTTGGCTTTGAGACATGGATAAAATGAAAATATATTAAAAAAAAAAAATCATATATACCATTTATAGTATACTACTTTGCCTTACAACACCCTGAATTTTAAAATAAAAAACTCTCTTTTGTGCAGTAGGAAAGCTAACACTGCTGTGCATGTTTCTGTTTCTAGGAGTGGTGCGGTCTGTGAAAGAAACTTTGAACAGCCAGTTTGTGGACAACTGCAAAGGAGTCATTGAGAGACTCACACTAAAAGAAAAGAAGATGGTCTGGAATCGAACAACTCATCTCTGGTAAATATTTGTTATAGTATTATGATGTTATGCAAGAGATTTGATTATGACGTTATGCAAGTGGGATGACACCACAAATATACTGTACAACTGGACTAAAGTTTTACTTTTACAGAAAGCTAAGATTATAGTCAGGCCTAATTGTAACTCTTAATTACAATGACAGATGTTGCAAACTTTTTCAGGAATGACTGTGAAAAGGTTATCCACCAGCGCACCAACACTGTGCCCTTTGACCTGGCCTCCCATGATGACAGCGTCACAGCGACCGTGCGCGTTGTTCGTCCACTGGACGCAGCTGAGCTAGACCTGGATACAACCTATGAGAACTTCCACCCAACCGTGCAGTCCCTGAGCAATGTCATTGGCCACTTCATCAGCGGCGAACGGCCGCAGGGCATCAGGGAGACAGAAGAGATGCTGCGGCTGGGGGCCAGCATGACAGGTGTGGGCGAGCTGGTGCTGGACAACAACCTGGTGCGGCTGCAGCCCCCCAAGCAGGTAGGGATGTCCTTGAATACAAATACATTATTATAATGTGATGTAAATTGAGCCTGGGTGATAGGGTGATGTAATCGGATAACATCGGTGATGGAAAAGATGGCATTGTGTAAAAGGCAACAATCATAAATTGTAAATATTGTAGCGTTTTACGCTATAGAAGAAGACAAAGCAGTTTGAGTTTATTGAAGGCTGTATTTGCCTCCAGCCTTGCCTCACATATGGAATGGTTCTTCCTTCACTTTCAGCTTCGCTATCTCAACTTGCTTGGCTGCCAATGATAAAACTGACGGTCTCTTCCTGAACTAAGCATCAACACAATGAAAAAATAAAATGCCTTAGAATAATTTTCTGAAATCAATTCAGTGTGTTGGGAAACTGGGGTTCACGTTTAAAAAAATTATGTGGGCGCACACCCCAATAGTTTGGACTGTGGGGTTGTTGAGGCTGTCTGGTTCTCTCTGCTACTTGCTGTAATGCTAGCTTTACTGCACGGCTTCTCCTTCTTACTTAACATTAACTTAAGCTTGCCTCAAAGTGACTCAGGCTGCAGTTAAAAATAAAAAAATTTAAAAATAAAAAAAAAAACCTCTAGCTCTGTGTGACATGAATATTTATTCCCCTCTAAATACTTCTGACACCACTTGCAAATTAACGCTAGTTAACTAAAGTCAGAATTTTAGCAGGGATGTTTACTGCAGTTTAAATCATACAGAAATGAAAAATAATTTATGTACTATAAATGTGTGCTGTGGGAATGAGCACATCATTGTTGCTGTTTTTGTATAAATAAGGGTGTGTGTGTGTGTGTGCGCTGCTGTAAGTCATCTGGTAAAGCCTAAAATTATAAACATACCCACTTCCAGCACCTTGCAGCTAATTGCAGTTTTGGCCATTCCCATATCCAGTTTGTATCCAGGTACAAATGTTTCTGTCTGAACATGCAGGGTTTGCGCTACTTCTTGAGCCGATTGGACTATGAAACACTGCTGGGGAAGCAGGAGGGCAGCCTGCGACTGTGGAAGGCTCTCACGCTGCTTGTGGGGCTGGCAGCGTGCGCCACGCTGCTCTACATGCTGTGGAGGCACTACATCTGGCGGAGGGAGCGGAGGAAGGAACGCAGCGTGCTGGAAGAGTTTAAGGAGCAGCAGAGGAAGCGTGTGCAGGAGTTGAACCTGGACGAGGCGGCCGTATCCCCGAGCGCCTGCACCATCTGCCTAAGCCGAGAGAGGTCTTGCGTCTTCCTTGAGTGTGGTCATGTATGCTCTTGTGACCAGTGCTACCGTACGCTGCCCAAGCCGAAGAAGTGCCCCATATGCAGAGCTAGCATAGATAGGATCGTGCCTCTGTACAACAGCTAATAGCCTCTCGATCATAATAGATCTAGTAGCACTTATTAGAGCTGCACAAGATATCTGTATTCATCGAACAATGTTTTTTAATCGTTGTCATAACATTGACCTTTACTGGACTGATTCTGCAGGAGGTTGGAATATGCAAAATGAACCATCCGACAAATTACAGATGAGTTCATGAGGGAGTTGTAATGAATCAAGGCAATCACAATATCCAACAACTAAATAATTTTGTTCAATTTTTAAATATTTAATCTTAGTTGGTCATGATGCTCGTTGCACACAATGAAAACAAATCTTTCTATAGATGATTAGAGGGCTTGTTTGCATATTGTACCCTTCTGCGATGTAAAGGCCAATAATAATTAACAAATGATATATTGTGCAGCCCTAGCAATTACATTAAAAGTAGGAGAACAGCATGCAGCCCAGTGGTTCCCGCAGAGTAGCCCTGCTCTGCATATTCAAGTGTTTTTCGGCTCTAAATGCCAAAGAACACCGACCAAACGTTCTGCTACAAACACCAAAATTCTAAAGCTGTCGTCTTTAGAATATCAAGAAAAAGAACTGACGAGCCAAATGAACCAGAGTGAATAGACCTCTGAATTCATGTCTCCATTTTGTTTTTGGTGTCAAGCCTATAAAGGAAAGTCTGGTTCTAAGCAGGTTTCCTCTATGGAAAACAATGAATGCCATTTTTTTAATATCCCTGCTTTCGTGCCTGTGGTAGACATAAATGTTCCAAAGCCAATATTGTCTGTGTACATTTGATCCCCAAATGTCAGTGGGTCATGTGAATGAAAAGGAGTCAAATATAAACCTGCCACATCAGTCTGCTATTAAACTTCAACACCAGCTACTCAAACTGTAGCCTACCACTGCCAAAGCAGCTTAACTACTACATGTCAAAGCTTGCAGGTTTTTATTTTAGTGATGTTGCCAGTGTTATGATGTCAATTCAGTATGCAGCAGTGTTAGCTTGCAGGTAGCGAGCTAAACAACCTCAGAATTCAGAGGATCCATTGAAATTCAGAGGAGGAATGTCTGCACGGCAAAACATCTGGTTTTTGAATACTTTTGTTAATGAGGGTGTGATGGCGGTGTTTTTTGAAACATTGATTTTCCATAGAGAAGAACTGCTTAGACCTAATATGGGCATGATGCAGACTTCAGAGGTATATGCGGAGAGAGCATTATAGAACAGTGTGAATGGTGGAGAACATTCTAGATTGTCCTGACAATCAAACACACCTAAGGCACACCAACCAAACGTTCATTTCATGTTTGTGTTTGGTTGTACACAGCACAGGGCTGCTACAGGACCAGAGCTAGGAACCACTGCTGAAGCCTATTTTTGTGTGAACACACTTCTGAAAATGATTCATCATATCTTTGTGGGCATCACAAAGGCTTTTTGATCTCACGGTTAAAGGGGAATTCCACTTTTGCAGAATTTCAGTAATTCACTTGTTGCGATGTTAGTCATTCAGAGTGGTGTGATGTGAAATGTTGCCTTAGTTATTTGATCCATACTAAGCAAAATGTAATGTTTTTTAAACTAAAAATAAAAAGTTATGTTCTGGATCTGTCATTCATTTAAGACAATACTCTTTTAGCATTAAAACAATTTCAGCATGCCTGCAGTATGCAGAGTGTTTTGATGTGAAATGGTTCACTGTAGAGAAACTTACTTCGATTTCTGTACAGTGGTGGTGATGGGAACCAGGGGTTGTGAAGCCTGCAACACAAATATAGCCATTTTATTTACAATCCAAAACAACTAGTGAACCCACATGTGTTTTTGAGTAACAACATTTTGCGTGTGCCTCTCTGCCACGAGTAAATAATAAAAAAAAGATTTAGCCCAAAACCTTTTCAAAATGCATATTCTTAACTATTTCATGTAGTAGCTCTCTGTGAGGGAGCTTTTAGAGGCATTAAAACAGACGTCTGGTTCCTGTCAAAATCACTGTGAACAATTCTGACGCACATTTCACATCACTCTAAACGCCATCTGAATTAGGCAGAATTTGAAAAATCTGTGGAATTCACCTTTAACATAGATAAAGAGGGTCTTTACCGAATCGAGTCCTCAGTAATGAAGATGCAAAAATCTTGGTTAAGCAGGGGCACTAAAAATGTGTGTGGCTGATGTAATCATCAGATGTGCCTACCCAAATAGAATTTACTGTAACGTTTGCATTTATGGTTTCAAGATATGTTAGATAAAAGTGAACATGATTGTGCAGCACATGACAAGATGTTAAATGAATGTATATTTGTATGGAGCAGGTTTACTATATGCACAATATACAGTAATATCTTTATTTATCCTCTTTAAATTGATGCTTGTATGCTTTTCTTTAAAGAAGTGTGGAATTATTTACCTCATTTTTCATGAATAAAGTTTATTCCCCCTCATGATATTCTGTAAGGTATCTGATCAATGCTAAGTAAAATGTACTGTTTTTGGAACCAAAAAATAAAAACTTGTATTCTGGATGTGCTGTCATTTTCATGAGGCAGTACAGCATGAAAAGTGCTTCAACAGGCCTACAATATGCACCAAAATAAGCTCTGTGTTGTATATGGAGAAACTGCCACAGTCTAAAGATGATATTTCAGCATTCTTCAGTAAAATGACCTACTTTTGATAAAACAGACCTTAGTCTTTATAACATTGTATTTTTGATAAGTACAGGCCTTGTGTTCGTGGGAATGGTGCCTATGAAAGAATATGAAATACTGACGGTGACCAGAAGAGGGCGCTCTCCGCCTATTATCTCACTATGATCAGATCATGAATTTGTGGCGCAATATGGTGCAAAATCAGTCCTGATTATGTCATTTGAAACGGATTTGTTAACAAAAAATGACATACGTGCACCAAAATATGTTTAAATGAGATCAGTCTCACCTCATCTTCATCATTCTTGACGTATTGCAGAAAACCTGAGGTATTCCCTCATGAGTTGCTCCAGTGTAAACTCAGTCCCTTCGTGGAAATTAAACAAGGTGACATGAAAATACAAGCTGAGCTTCCAGACTCACTTTTCCTATACTTGAGTTCATATTTGAAAAAAAAGAAGCTTCGAATGTAAATGATGTTTCCTAAACGGTGTTAATATTACTGTATAACTCTACTGTATTATATTTTAGAAAATACTAATTCCTTTATAGAGATTCAGTGAGAGCTGAAGTAGGGTAGATTTAGATTTGAATTGAAAAAGCATCTATGATTTGAATACAAGTTGCAATTTATAAGTTGCACATACTAATTAATTTTCATAAGGCGTGGCCACAAATTACTATATTGAGGGTACAATTTACAGTATAGCCACAGATGACTATATTGAGGCCACAAATTAATATACTGAGGCCATGGAAGACTTCATTGAGGCCACAACTTATTATAATGAAGACACAAGATACTATTTTAAGACCACAAATTGCTATACTGAGGCTACAAATTGCTATACTAAGGCCACACATTAATATATTGAGGCCACAAATTGCTATACTGAGGCCACAAATTGCTTTACTAAGGCCACAGATTAATATGTTGGGGCCACAAATTGCTATACTGAGGCCACAAATTATTATATTGAGGCCATAAATTGCTATGCTAAGGCCACTAAAGACTGCACACAACTTAATATAATGAAGCCATGAGATACTATATTTAGGCTACAAATTACTATTTTAAGGCCACAAATGTATATACTGAGGCCGCAAATTGCTATACTGAGGCCACAAAATACCACATTGAGGCCACAAATTACTATACTGAGGCCACAAATTACTATATTGAGGCCAAGGGATACTGTACTGAGTCCATGAAATACTACTTTGATGCCATAAATTACTATATTGAAACCACAAATTACTATACTGAGGCTACAAATTGCAATATTAACGCAAATTACAAATTAATATATTGAGGCCACAAATTAATATAGTGAGGCCACAAATTACTATATTGAGGCCAAGGGATACTGTACTGAGACCATGAAATACTACTTTGAGGCCATAAATTACTATATTGAAGCCACACATTGCTATACTGAGGCCACAACTTAATATAATGAGGCCACATATGAATATACTGAGTTCACAGATGAATATATTGAGGCCATCAATTACTATATTGAGGCCACTAATTAATATATTGAGGCTATGAGATGTACTGAGACCAAGAAATACTACATTGAGGCCACAAATTACATATAGTAATCTGTGGCCTCAATATGGTAATTCGTGGCCTCAGTATATTAACTCGTGGCCACGCCTTATTAAAAAATAGTCACAGCACTTCGCAACACTTTTTCCCACTGCTGACAGATGCATGTATGTCCGGATATCTGAGCGTTCAGTGTCTTACACCGAGTCTGCACTAACTCTTATTTAACGTGGGACGCTCCCTGTGGAAGAACAGGGGCTGCAGGCTGCACAGCGAAGTGAAGCGGGCAGAGCTGCAGCGCGTGCACCACCAACTCTGCCTGAGTGAGTGACGTATTTGGGCTTTTTCGCTCTCTCTCCTCTTCTACATTTCTCCGTTTTTTTCCACCTTTTATCCCACTCGTAACTTCCGAATATCGTGAACCAAGGCGAAACCACCTCGAACCTGACCTAAGTTACCAAAGTAGGAATCTACAGAACCTCCTCTGACAGAAAACACCGCTGAGGACCTTCAGTTAGCTCCAGGCTAAGTCCGACTGAGCTCGTCCGCTTGTTTTGTTGTTTTTTTCACAGCGCCGTTTGTCCGCTCCTTCGTTGGTCATCGATTCATTGCTGACAGAAAGGAGAGAGGGAAAGAGGGAGATAACATGTCCGAAGTGTTGCCTTACGAAGAAAACCTCACTCATTATGGAAACGATGGAGATGAAGAGCAAATCTCGCTCACCTGTCGACTGCAGAACACCAACAACTTCTTCGGTACTGGGCAGAACAAAAGGCCACCTAAACTTGGCCAGATTGGAAGGAGCAAGCGAGGTGAGATGACTTTCAGCTCTTTTAAAAATAATAAAAAAAAACACTTTGAGTTGGTAATACCAGTCGATTTTTTTTCTCATTTATTAAGATGAAGTTGGCTCCATCTTCTAATTGTCCGTTCCACCTTAAATGGTGCAGCAGTTACATTCGGGCGCCTCTGGCATGTATGTAAGGCAAGAATGGAACGGCACCATTTAAGGTGGAACGGACAATTCGAAAAATGAGCCAATTCCAGCCTCTTTTGTGTCTTGAGCTGAATGTTGAAATGCGTGTGTTTAACTGTCCCCTACAGCAAAAACATTTTTTCACAAGTGCAATTCATTCATAATGCATATTCACATTGTCACATGGGTTTGCTTGTAAACATGTTTTGTACACTTCACGTACGAATGCATGTGACTTTTTCTGTTAGTGAAAGTCGTCCTGTTTACCTGTGGAAAAACAGTGCCTGTCGCATTCAGGAAAGAGTGTGGAACGTGTCTTTTTTCCCAGCCATGGTAGTAGGATCCTCCCCAAACCCCCACCCCTCATCACCACCCCACCACCCTCACTGTTCGTGCAATGTCTGGGCTGGATATGCGTTGAGGTTTGATGGATTGCATAACACAGGCGCACATGGGTCTCCAAGTGCCACCAGTGATGATGGTGGGTTTGCAGTGGGCTGCTTGCCAGTCACGAGGAGCCAGTGTGTGGAACCAGGTGTGTCCTTCACAGCCCAGAGTGCTTCATCTCCAGTCCGTCACGTCACGTCACATCACACCTGGCTGACCTCGCCTCGCCAAGTTCAGTTCAGTCCCAGAGTTCATCTCGCAGAATTTGACCCATGCTTTCTTCCCCCCCCCCCCTTTCTTTTCTTTCAGTTGTCATAGAAGATGACAGGATTGACGAGGTGCTCCAAAACACAGCAGAAAAGTCACCGGCGGAGGCGTGAAAGCCTGGAAACATGGGTTTTTTAGGGCTGCGGGAAGTGTTGGAATACACAAATGTGCATAAAAAAAGCACTTTGCAGTGCCTCTCGGTAGGGGTTGAATTTCACAGCAAAGCACACGGAGGAGAGCACTGGCGCAGGCTTCCAAAATGGGGAGAGCGAGGGTCCGATCTGCTTTTTACTTTTGAGGGCATGTTTTGATATCTTTTTTTCTTCATAAGCTGAGATCAGTCCAATGTTGTTCAATACTTGTGGGTTTGATCCTTAGTAGTAAAGGTACCATTGTATTGTGAGAGGAATGCATTGATATTACAAGCACAAATCACAGTCTACTGGTGACCATTACATTTCCTCCTCTTTTTTTTTTCTTCCTCAGACAGGGCACTTTGTTTTTCTGTATCTTGCAACACTATGATGACTTTCGTGCACAATGGAACTGTGAACTTCAGTGATGTGGTTTTTTGGGGGGGTTTTCTTTTTGTTTGTTTGTTTGTTTTTTCAAGGAATTATGATCATGATCTTTTGGGGTGTATTTTTTGCAGTGCTGGAAGGCGGTGCAAATGTTTTTATAGACTGACAACTGAAAGCCTTTTTTAAAAATCACAAACTTTTTTTTTTTGTTGATGTTGCTTGTTGTAATATTATTTTTGTCGTTGCTACAAACTGCCTGCTCAGCCTAATAGCAGTGAAAATAGCTTATTTTTGTATGGAGAAGCAGTTTCCGAAACTGTTTTCGTTTTGGGTTGTAGATGTAGTCCTAGCACTTTCAAATGTGGCTGTCACTCTCTGCTGTACAGGATATGATCACATTTGTGCCAAATATCGCAAAAGTATGCCAGTCAAGCTGTGTCCTCGTGCTCTGCGTACTGTGAAATTCTGCGAGCCTGGCTGTCCTGTCCGTTATCAGGGCTTTTTCTAACTGCTTTTGCATGAGACAGGCTGAAGTGCCTCCCTGTGTGGCAATGGAACTGGTGTACTTTACAGTAATCTTTGTTGTTTGCAACTTTTGGAATTACAGACCTCAAAAATCTCTTGAATATTACATATACTTCTATATGTTGCACTTCTTTTCACTGTTAAACAGGGCTATATTGATAATGGAAAGTATGACCATTAAAATGTGAATATACATCAAAATGGTTTTAGCATCACTCATTTCATCACCGCCGTTGCATGAGATGAGATTTAGAGTACAGATTTTATTATATAAATGAATTATTTCATACCTAAAGTTGGCTTGTGAAGACATTTGATTTGGCCTGCCAGAAGGTCACTCTAAGCCCAACCCTTTCACCCAGTAAGATAACAAATTTTTCTACCACATGTAACTTATTAAATTCTGGTTTTCCCTTTAAAATTGTACATATTTTAGGTGCAAAATATAGTGTCGTTATAAAACACATTAAAAAAAAAAAAAACTCCCTACCTTCTTTATTTATATAGACTTTGTTGGCCCACCACAAACATTACACTTTGGCCCACAAAGACAAAAAGTCTGTGCACCCCTGGCATAGGGCATTGTTTTAGACAGCCTTATAGTGCTTACCGAATTTCATTTTATCATTATAATACGTTTTAACTGTCTTTTCTTACTACAATAACACAACTTATTGCAGCTAAACGTGGTTTATCCAAATGGAGAGGTTCAGGGCTGAGGTTCCCCTGACTGTCATATGACATACATGAGAAACGGCTGAATGTGAACAATTGTTTGAAAATCCCAGTCTGTCTAAGAATGAAAGACAGCTTTTCATTAATTTGCATGGTTTCATATAACAAAGACATACTCAGTCCCTTATTTGGTGGTCTTGCACCTGACTCATCACATGAGGGGCTTGATCAATACACAATGAGCTGAATCATGTCAAACACACTATATGGATTTACCATGATTTTGATTGAGGAACATGGGTGTAATGTTAATTTGAAGCCACCACTGCCAGTCATTATTGGCAACATCACTATTTGTTTAAAAAGTGCTTTTGTGAGAACTCTGTTTTCATGAGTTGTGAAGGTTTGATAAGGGTCATGTAGCTGTACTTTGTGAGAAATCCAAACATTCTTGGCTTTTTTTTTTTTTATCAGCAGTTCAGTACGGTTGTTATCGGGCCAGCGTTAGTCAAGTCCATCCTTGGGTTAGCACATTAGCAAAAGTTTGGGTTTAACCTAGGTGGTTAGGTAAAGTCAGTGCTACTCAGCATTAACATTAACCTTTTATCAGTCCATAAACCCAAAATACCTTCAACAGCAGCTTCAACTTCATTGCAGAGAGAGCGCCTTTTGTGGTAATCCTGACTTTACCTCATTAGTATCTCTTCCAGTCAATTCCAGTCTCAGTTACTGGTGAAATGTCTGAAAGAACTAGGAAGAAGATAATAAAATGTCATGAGAAAATGCTGTATTCTCTTTGTCTGCGTGTGTGTGGTACTCAAGGAGTCTGTGCTTCAATCTGCCTCACCCACACAACTCTGCCTTATTCAACCAGATTTATTTTTTTATTAACCATCACTGTAACAGTCAGTTTTTACAACTTTGCTGTATTGAGATACCAAAAGAAAAAACATTTACAAGGGCCACTGTTGAAGTATTGAGCTGTTTTGGAGTCGTCACGTTGACACAATTCTTCAAAATTCCGTCCACATTTGCATATATTCTAGCTTTTTTTCTTGTTTTGTTTTTTTTGCATTAAATGCTCAAATGCCAACCTAGAGGTCAAAGTTTGTGGCAGAAATGATGCACTATTTTTGAAGAGTGTAGAAATAGGTCTTAAAGAATGAAGACAAGGCTGAGCGCTGGTGTGTCTTTACAGTGCGGGAGAGTCTTGAGAGATTCGAACAGCTTGAAAAGCTATACTGGCCTTGATGTAATTATTTTATATCTGCTGTAATTTGTTACTCTCCAAAAAAATGAATCCCCCAAAACTGTAACATAATAATGTACACAACAAAGTTAGCTAGCTAACATTGGCTGTCTTTGTGCACTAACCAGGCCTTTGTTAACTAAAAAAGTAGATAAGTCTCTAGTGTGTCGCTTGATTTGTTTTAGTTTATAAAAGCACACCTAGCTAATTCTCCAACTTCTATTAGACGTTGCTAAGTTTCGTGATGGTGTGTGACTGCTTGCGTGGAACAAAATCCTCAACCCACACCAGCACTTTCTGGATCATGATTCTCACCCCTGCTGGAACTTTCTGTTCCTGTGCTCATGCATGTCTTTGGAGAGAGATTTGGAGGGAGGGCGTGGGATTGAAGCGAGGGGGTGGATTCTTTCAGTGGCTAAGTCTGGTGGAAGTTAGCGAGAACTTCTAACATTGCTTGTGGAAGATTTCACTTACATTCTGAGCAAAATATCTGTTACCATCACCTTGGTTTTTCACTCTATCCCAGGAGTGTCCAGCCTTATCCGCAACCTAACTGGTGAAACTCGGTTGATTATCAATAGTTATAGTCTTAGAGCTCAAGCCTGGATTAGGGTTAGGGTTTAGTTTAGATGTTGATCTGAGGTTAAGATTAGGGTTAGAGCAGGGATGTCCAATCCTATCCACAAAGGGTCTTTGTGGCTGCAGGTTTTTAATCGAAACCAGCAAGAGCTCACCTTGTTTAAGCAGTTGGTCAGGCTTCAAACAGTACTCAGGTGTGGTTCTGCTTTGTAGGAATGAAAAACTGCACCCACACCAGCTCTTTGCAGATAAAATTGGACATCCCTGCTAAACCAGGGTTGAGCTCTAAAACTAAGACAGTTGATAATCACCAGCTAGTTTCCTAACTTGAGCATTTGTAGACAAGTTGTGGTGCAGTGGTTCTTAAACCTGCCCACATTTTTTTTTCTATTCCTATGTGTTGCAACTTGTGATGGAGCAGGTGGAGCATCTGCGGGGCCTGGTTTGCGAACTACTTTGGACAGCTTGGAAATGCAGTGCAACCAAGAATTTAGCTTCTGGGAGCGACTTGACTTTATGCAAACCATATTCACAGACAAGCGTTTGCTCCACCCACAGTAAAAAAAAAAAAAGAAATGTAGTAAACAGCATATTGTGCTGGCATCTGCCGGGCAGGGGAACAGACGACGATAAGCTGCTCTGCAAGCATGGATGTTGCGTATGTGTGTGAGATGAGCATGGCTGCTTATTCCCTCAGCTCCACCAACATGAAAGCGAGTTTGGCTGCCATGGCAACAGATGCGCCCTGTGTAGCCTGGAAGCACGCTGCACCCCCTCCGCCATGCAAACAACACGCACGCGCACGCTCAGCATCAAAGCAATGCACTCAATTATTCAGCACTTAACGCTGCAGCCTTCTGCTGAGTGTCGGGGACTGAATGATGGTGCTCTCAAGGGCCTCTCGATGAGCTTCTCGTGCTGGATAAGGGCTTGTGTGAAACGCTTGTTAGAGTCTTTTGTTGCACCTTGTGTTTGCAGTAGCATCCCATAAACATCCTTCCACCTACACCCAACTGCAGAGGACCTCCTTTCATACCTTCAAAGGGTTTAGTAGGTAGTTTAGCAGCCTGTAAGCATTGGATTATCAGCGCTAAGCCCAATCCCGCAGTTCCACCCCATTCAGACTAATTTGTTTTGGAGAGCGCCTGCTTATAATTTGCAACATGCACATTCTTTCAATGCAATGGATACATTACTGTATGCCTTTGCAACATTTTGTGCGTGAGAACCATGATGAAACAATCACTGGTCTCCAGGGACACGTTTATCCTATCCGAAACAAAAAGTCCCACGGTGGTTGCTATGGAAACCTCCTTACCGTGAAGGGAAGTTGTCCTAGTTCTCCCACCGATGGTGCCGGGCTCTGTGGGAGGCACTTCAACTCTGCCCGTTTCCAACCATCAACTCATCGTGATGCATTTAAAACCATGTTATAATTTGTAAGTGCACAGTAATTGTAGAGATGTCGATATCATCGTTTTTCCGCTTCGGATCCACTCTCCACCTACAGCATGGCTCAGAGTGGACATCTCCACTCTGAAAAAGAAGTAGGGTAAAACAAAGACATTCGGAAATGTACACTCGTTAAGACCCACTGCATATCTAAAAAGGCTGATGACGATCATTTCTAAAATCACATCTTAACAGTAAATCTTTGGGTTGTTCCACAGTCAGTTCAGTGTGAGGCAAACACTATGTAGTGCATCTGAAGTCGTTTGTCATTTTGTGGTCAACATTATTCCCATATTAGGAATTAAGAAAGTTAAAGCAGGTTTTTTTTGGAATGGGAAAAACGAATGGCGTTCTTGAAAATCTTCACTATTATACCCTGTGGTAAACAATGGTACCACACGTGATACGTGTTGCCCTGTGTGCATTTTACCTCCAAATTTCACTGGACCTTCTGCATTAAAGAGACCATTAAGGAGTCAAAATATAGATTTTGCTATAGCCAAGCTAACACTCTACTCCTGCACATTGAATTGACGTGTTGACGTTCACTCTCAGAAATAAAGGTACAAAACTGTCAGTGGGGCAGTACCCCTCTTATCACTGGGGTGGTACCCTCAAGGGAACATAATTGTAGCATAATCCATTGAAATTATATTTTCTAAGTTGTATTGACTCCACACACCCCATCTCATCTTCAGGCTTTTTATTTTATTGGTCTGTTTTAAAACATTAAGTTACAAAAAGGTATAAATATGTACTTTTCCACTGTACTTTACCTTGATGAACAAAAATGTACCTGCACAGAACCTTTATTTCTAACAGTGCAGATTACTACTGCAAAAGTTGCCAGCCTTACATCATCAGCTCAGTGCTTAGCAGTGTTAGCTCGTGTAGAAGTCCTAATTCGCAGGACTCAGTGCCAATTAAAGGAGAAAATGAATCTGCTTTGGAACATTTTTTGTTGACCACAGGGTGCGAGAATGTTGATTAATGAAATTGCGATTCATTTTGCCCAAATGGAAAAACTGCTGAGACCCTGAGTTCCTTATTTAGGAATGTTACTGACTACAAAATGATGTCAAGACTTCAGAGGTCTATGGTGAAAGTGTCCATTCCAACCTTTCCAAGCACAGTGTGACAAGTCGTTTGATCTTTTGTAATCTTTTGCAATTTTTTGTGACGTGTTACTATTTACTGTAGATAAAAGAAGACTTGACGTTTTCAAGCTTCTCAAAAGTCGACTTGA